GTTTTTAATATTACTACTGTGCAAGCAGCAAGTGAAGGTAGTACAATTACTTTCATATTACGGTAATATTAGAATTTTACTCGATGGGGACATTGAGTGCATGAGTGTATGTTAAGTACAATATCCACATGTCATGTCTACGTACTTTTTACCATGCTTGAATGTCCTAGTGCATTGTCTGTATGCATGCTATACTGGAAATAGCAGGCTCATGATTGTAATATATCATAAATCGGCTTATGGTTTAACTACAAGTTTATAACGTAAATGAAGATCAGAGGTAGACCCAGTCAATAACCACAATTCCAATTATAATCAAGAGGCCTTCTCCCCGTTCAACACTACCACACCAAAGCTGTAAACATCTTTCTTTTCAGTAGGAATACCCGAATAAAGATACTTAGGTGCAAGATATCTCGTTGTTCCTGTCGATATAGTAGCTTCTCGTGTATTCGAACAGTGTTCATAAACTTCTACCAGACCTAAATCCTCAAATCCTCAAGCTTAGCATTGAACTCTACGTATCACATCCATCAATTTTTTTTTCTAAAAATCTAAATATTATAGAGTTGGAAAATTGATCCATACAAAATTTGTTATTGATATGAAACTCATTAAATGTTCAGATCTTCACCCTCGCACTTGTATACTTGTAATACAATAAGAAGTTAACAGCTGGACTCCCACAAGTGTTGATAAGGTGTCACGTTGAAATTAAAATCCATTAGGAAAAGTGGCTTGAGATCCATCAAACCTCCAACTTTGGAGGCTTTTCATTAATAGAATAGCCTTTCATTTAAGCCTTGGTAGTAAATAGGGCTGAAAGTTAGCTAAGTCTGCACAAGCTTTGAACGTGCTTGAGGACTGTTGTGTACCACAATTGGTTGATCTGAATGATTTTGTTCATTGATGAATGATGCTGTTAATGAAATGCCTCAAGTATTTGTTTGGGGTCGATCATGCCCACGCTAAAAATGAACTACATAGAGTAATGTCAATGTTCGTAAATGTGAGATCCCACATTGGTTGGAGAGGGGAACGAAGCATCCTTAGAAGGGTGTGGAAACCTCTTCCTAGTAGATGCATTTTAAAATCGTGAGGCCAACGACGATACGTAATGAGCCAAAACAGACAATATCTACTAATAGTGAGCTTAGGCTATTACAAATGATATTAGAACCAGACATTGAGTAGTGTGCCAACAAAGACGTTGGGCCCCAAGGGAAATGGTGAGATCCCACATCGATTGGAGCGGTGAAAGAGCATTTCTTATAAGGGTGTGGAAACTTTTCCCCCCAATAGATGCGTTTTAAAATCGTGACGGCGATACCTAATGAGCCAAAGCGGACAATATTTGCTAGCAATGGACTTGAACGGTTACAGTAAAGTTGTATGAAGTAGTTTGAGTACACAATTAAGAACAGTACCAGATTGATTGTCATAATCACGGAGATACAGTTCATCATTTCTATGCGATGTTATTAATTTAAGCTCAAATTAGAAGGATCGTAAGGTTGAAATTAATGAAGCTTTCATTTTTCCAAGATGTGAGGTTAATAAACATGTCAACTTCCAACCATATTTTGAATATGTTTCCACTATCACTGTTCAATATGTTACCATCATTTAGATTTCTTTTGTTTTTGACTTTGTTTTCCATTGGCTGTTCAAACAGTTGCCATTCCCCTTCACTCTGAAAGGAAGCTTAATTATGTGATATTGGTTAGCAGTAGGTTCAGAAAGGTGTGGAAGCTGAGATCATTTTGATTGCTCAATAAATGAAAGAAAATGGCAGTTGAGTTGGTTTCTGGCTGGTGTGGCCAAGACTTCCTCATGCATTGCAAAGCCAGTCCTTATCATTTAAGGGCTCCCCCTCCTACCACATGTGACATGCCCTTAAGTCTCAAAACTCTGCTTTTTACTCACTTATCTGCAGCTATATAATGAGCTTCATCTGTTTCATCTTTTGTACACTGCCCCGAAGCTCATAGCTGCTGCTCAATCTCGGGAGAGTTGGTTTCGGGTCAGATTTGGCATTGTGGTTTCACCATGAGGAATCCTTCTCTGTTTGGAAGGACACCCTTGTTGTGCTTCTTCTTGGTGTCATTTGTATTTGCTGCAACCTTGTGCTATGCTGATGTGAAGACGGTCGAGGTCGTCGGCGTTGGCGAATGTGCTGGCTGCAAGGAGAGTAACATCAAAACTAGTCATGCCTTGTCAGGTATGTATGCCTTCTAGTAACTGTTTTTGTGAGATCCCACATTGGTTAGAGAGGAGAACGAACATTCCTTATGAGAGTGTGGAGACCTCTTCTTAGCAGACACGTTTTAAAACGTGAGGTTGACGGCAATACGTAATGGGCCAAAGCGGACAATATGTACTAGCTGTGGGTTTGAGCTATTACAAATAGTATCAAAGCTAGGCACCGAATGGTGTGCCAGCGAGGACGCTGGGCCTCCAAGACTGGTGGATTATGAGATCCTACATTAGTTGGAGAAGGGAACTAAGCATTCCTTATAAGGGTGTGGAAACCTCTCCTTAGCAGACACGTTTTAAAATCGTGAGGCTGACGGTGATACGTAACGGGCCAAAGTAAACAATATCTACTAGCGGTGGGCTTGAGCTATTACCAATGTCATCAGAGCTAGGTACCAAATGGTGTGCCAGCAAGGACACTAGCCTCCCAAGGGGGGTGGATTGTGCGATCCCACATTGGCTGGAGAGGGTAACGAAGCATTCCTTATAAGAGTGTGGAAACCTCTCCTAGTCATACGTGTCTTAGAACTGTGAGGTTGACAACGATACGTAGCGAACCAAAACAGACAAGGTCCAAAAGTTTTTTTCACAATAAAGTAACCAAAACATGTTTGATTGCAGGACTAAAAGTAGCCATAGCTTGCAAATCAACCGATGGCCACTTCAAAACAAGAGGAATTGGAGAGCTAAACGAAGAAGGAAAGTTCAAAGTATTGCTTCCAAATGCCATTGTGAAAGACGAAAAATTAAAGGAAGAATGCTATGCACAGCTTTACAGTGCATCAGCCACCCCTTGCCCTGCCCATCATGACCTTCCCTCCTCTAAGCTCATTTTGCTGTCCAAATCAGACCAGACACACACCTTTGGGCTCTCCGGTAACCTCAAGTTTTCACCTCAAACTTGCACATCAGCCTTCTTGTGGCCATCTTTCAAGTACCCTCCCCTCCCAAACTTCCCTCACTTCCCTTTGCCTCTCCCTCTAATCCCCAAGTTTCACCATCCATACTTCAAACACTTTGTCCACCCATTCTACAAAAAACCAACTCCACCACCGGTTCCCATTTACAAGAAGCCTAATCCTCCTCCTGTCTACAAAAAACCCCTTCCACCGCCGGTTCCTGTTTACAAAAAGCCTCTTCCGCCACCGGTTCATGTGTATAAGAAACCACTTCCACCGCCGGTCCCTGCTTACAAAAAACCTCTTCCTCCGGTTCCTGTGTATAAGAAACCTCTTCCACCACCGGTTCCTATTTACAAGCCTCCCATCCCAAAGATCCTACCACCACCAAGTCCCATTCCATTTTTGAAGCCAAAACATCCCTTCTTCAAGCATCTACCTCCCATTCCAAAGATACCCCATCATCCTTTCCTTAAGAAGCCATGGCCTCCTATTCCTCACTTCCCTCCTCTTCCCAATTTCCCACCAAAGTACTTCTCCCACCACAAGTTTGGAGGTTTCCCTAAACACCCACCTTCTGCTTCTCATCATTAGCCTATTATTGTCTTCAACATGGTATTGTGCAGTGGAGGTTTAGTCACTTTCAGCTGCTGCAAATAAAGCTCCAGTTTCTGGCATAGAAATGGATTCAAATCAGTGAGTGTTAAAAGGAGCAGGACAGAACTGTTGTTTGTTTTGTTTTTACATTTAAACTTGGATTTGTGTGGATTGTTGTGATTGTTGTGATTCTGTAAATTTAATGAACAATTTTTCGTTTAGAAAACTGTACTCTCAGATTCTTGCATGTTGTTGTTCTTTGTTTCAAAAATGGAAATGAAAAGGTACAAATGCTTCAATACTTTCATGTTTATAATATATTGTTTAATTCCTTTTTAGCTTCAAATTTAGTTTTTTTTTACAAGTTTTAGGACGATTTTTATTTTTGGTCAAACGGGAAATGGGTCGAGGAGAAATTGAAATTCTAGAAATCCCACGTGCCGACTTAACCTCATCGTAGTGCTTAAAACCCGAGGCTGACCCAAGTCCAACTTAAGTTTGACGATTGGCTAGGTCGATCCAATTCAATTGTTCCATGAGTAAATAAATAAGAGGAATATCGTGAGTATATAAATAAGAAAGAGTATTTCTTTTGGTTTGAACCCATAACATGGACAATATCATATCAATACATAAGTATCTTGAGGACCATTGTCTTGAACGAGTGGTATTAAATTCATGTCCTAACTTAATCTTGATGGCAGAGTCCATTTCTCGAGTGTTAAACAAAATTACAACTCTCGAAAGCATAGTCATACATAGGTATCTCGAGGATCATTGTCTCAAACAAGTGGTATTAAATTCATGTCTAAACTTAATCATGATGGTAGAGTCCATTTCTCGAGTGTTGAACAAAGTTACAACTCTCGAAAGCATAGTCATGGAAATGACCCGAATAAAAGCTACAATTCAGGATTCAATTCAACATTTCTTAGTACGGTTTATATTTAAATTTTTAGCCTAAATAAAAAAACGTACCTAAAAATAATTAATAATTCAACGTTCTCTAGCCTAATTAATAAACGTACCTGAAAATAATATTTATAAACTTAAAAAATATTTTTTTTAATGTAAATTCGTCTCATAAAAAAAAAAATCACATTAAAAATTTTTAAAAAAACATTTGAATTTATTTTAAAATTATTTATACTTAATTTAGTTGAAATTACAATATTACCCTTCAACCTTTTCATCATCGCTTAAAAACATAAAATAACCAAACGAGGCACTAATATTTACTTCCTCCCTGCCTGAGGCGCGCTCCGCCAATTGCTGGGGCCTCTGAAACGCAGAGGCGCGAAAAAGAGTGGAATCAAACGGGCATTTCTGTGTGCATTCTTGCTAGGGTTCAGCTTCCAAGCTCTCACTCCCATGGCCGCCTCCACTTCCGTCGACTCTTCTCTCTGGTGGGATCCTTTCTGTCTACTTCTTACTGAGCTCGAAAATGTCCCCCTCTCTTCTGCAGAACTTCCTCCAAAACTGGTGACAATTCCTCCCCTTTATATTTCAGGCGGGAGTGATTGAGTGGACATTAACCGTGGCAGTGTCTTTTTTCAGGTGAAAAAGTTGGACGACAACCGTGCTTGGTTCTTGGATACTGTTTCACTCTTCAAGAAACCGAATGAGAAATCGAGGGCGGCTTTAGATTCTCAGGAAATCAAAATAGGAGCACACACATTATCTATACAATCTGAGCTTAAAGACAAGGCTCTCAAGCTCAGCTCCTATCTGGTATGCCTGTTTGCTTTGTATGCTGCAGTTGTTGTATTCGGATTTTGAATGTTTTCCACTGCATTTCAAATGTCACTTAGCTAATAATTCATTTCTTTCGTTAGTCTTGTTGTATGCACGAAAACTTCTCACTATTTTATTTTAACAAAATACGAATTTATCGTTGATTAATGAAAATGAACAAAATTGTTCGAAGGATACAAATTTATACGATGAGTGAGAATGAACAAAGTAATGGGAAAGAAAAGGGAAAGAAAGAAAACCAGAGGGAATATCATCCCAACTAAAACAAGAGAATGAAAGACTTGAAAGAATAGAGAACATGAGAATTCTCATATTATATTTACTGGACATGTTACTTTTTTTTCCCCTCGATAAAATAATATATTATCGTTTTATTTATTGATGATATCCTTGTATCTGTCGGTTTCAGTGTCTGGACGAGGTGCAATCATACATTCTGGCTGAACGAACCGCTGAACACGAAAATTTAGCTAGCAATTCCCCATTTCAGGAACTTCTTCACTTGGTTAGTAGCTTGTTCCATTTCTTCTCATATGTACCTTTAATAGACACCTTTCAAGCTAGGTGTTACATTTTTTTTCCCCTCAATGGTGGAGATTCAATATTTAATCATATATTAAGTCAAGTCTATGATGATAACGAGTAGCAGTAACACTAGGTGGACTTTAATGAGTCAGTAGAGATGAGGTATCCACTCTAGTCAAATGAGATACAAATAATGGCAAGGCAGTAGTTGAGTCTAAGATAAGAGCAAGAAGCATCAACTTGATAGACAACTCATCAATAGAAGGAAAAACAGTATGAGAAAGAGAAACTTAAAAGAGCTGAAAGGTATGGAAACCACAAACATATTACGAGAACAAGAAAACGCAGGTGAACACTTTTTGTACATTGAGTTTGCAAGATCTAGCTCACCCTTAAAAATGGAGAGTACCTTCCAACATTACGCAAAGGAGGAAAAACACTTCAAATCACCTTTTAGGAGGACAACTTTTTCTTAACTTTTGTGACCACCTAAAAGTTATAGGATTATGACACAGTGGGAGCATTATGAACAAGAATGATGATTGGGAAGGAAGCAACCTTGCAACTTGCTTGAATATGCATTTCTGTCTATCAACCGTAAGCCCAAACAACAACTAGAACACATGGAAAATTTGTTGATGTGATTGAAAGAGCCCTTCCATACTATCATTTATAAACTGGAGTTGGAGTAGATGCATTCTTTCCTTCCCACCCAGAAACCTTTTATAGGATCTCCCTCTAAATCCTTAAATTGCTGTTCGTCAAAATATCAATCACCATAACCATCATGGGTTGGAAGTGGTCATAGGGACCAATGGAAAAAGTAAAAGGTTTAAGGAAATAAGATCAAACCATGGTAAAAATCTACCTCGAAAATTAATATTCTATGTGTTTTCTTCACAACTAAATGTAGTAGTGTGTTAAGTATGTCTCGTGAGATTAGTAAAGCTGTGCCAAAGTTGGCCTTGATACTCAAATATATTTTAAAATTGTCAACTGCCACCATGAAGAGGAGAGGAAAGGGTTCTTTTATTTATTTATTTTTGTTTTCAAGTTGGTGGGGCTGCTTGAAAGGTTGGGGCATGTGATATTTTGATCGTGTAAATCATCTAAAAAACTTATGAATGCTAGAAATTTTATGTAGGTTGTGGGACCAAAGTAGTGGCAATCATTTGAGCTGTGTTGTCAAGCAACACTTAGATTAAAACTCAAATAGTATTGTTCATTTGATTTTTTGTTAAATTTCCTGGTTAAGTTAAATAAGTTTTCTAGTTTAGTTAAGCTAGTGTTTTCCAAGATAGTGAAATCACTCTCAAGAAAAGGATGGCTAGACAACCACGAGTGGTGGGCATTGACCTAGTGGCCATAAGAGCCTCCTCCAAAGGCACCAAATGTAACTTACCAACCAAAACCTCATCCTTACCGATGGTAACTCAAACAAATTTCCGTTGGTGGAGTTTGAGAATTTTATCGTCTTTAATTAGGACTTGGCAAATTGAGTCCATAATGACTGTAAGATCTTGTAGTGAATTTGGGTTCTTCAATTGTGTTTTGATTTCTCTTTATGTTTCCCCATTGCAAGCAGTATCTAATAATCTGATTTTGGTTCAAATAGCTATGAAAACTGCAGGAGAATCCTAAATATAGAAATTTTAAAATTAATCCACTAGCATTTTACGTCATATTTAAGAACTCAAATGAATATGTTCTACATGTTTCATAATACTTTCTAAGTTATTGTCTGTCTTATTTGGTTTTATTATTTTAATGAAGGTTCTACTTGAATATTACATTGAACGGCAGTGCTTGCTGAAATGTACAAGGCGCATACTCTTGCATGCTTGTAAGTTCATTTTGATGAGTGATTCCCGTTTCTGATTTGTTTTCTTCTTTTTCCTCTCTTTCTGTATATATGAACTTTTCTAATTTAGGACTGCTTATTTCCAATAGATATTAATGTTTGCTCAATGCCTAATTGATTTTATTGTGTTCTCAATGTAGTATATGTTGGAAATGGTTCCAAAAAAGGTGATATTTGTGACAAGGCACTAAGTCTGGTTACTGATGGATTGGAAAGCAAACTTATACTTGTCTTGGAGAGCCTTATGTCCTCCGCTCACCCTGAGCAGATGGTATGGTTAGAATGGATGATGCTTTCTCCTTTTCTCCTTACTGTTGCATTACTGTTGTAAAAGCATATGTCTTATTGCTACCTTTCTCAGTTCTTCTAATTCGAATATCCTGGACACCTTTTTGCTCTTTCCTCTTTTGATTCTAAATACTAGGCCATGATACTTGTTGCTTTTAGTTAGTCCTAGAGTTTACCCGACAATGCATATGATTTTCTTGCATCCATTTTTGTGGGACATTCATTCCATGGAGTGAAGAAGACTTTGTGGCTTGCTTTCAACAAAGTTTTTTTTTTTTTTTTTTTTTTTTTTTTTTTTTTTTTT